CATCCTGGGCAGACTGCCGGGGCTCAACGTCGAAACAGTCTGCCACAGTCGTGCGTTTTCTTGTGGAGTTGTGTGTAGCGAACATGACAACACATCCACACACCCACACCCACACACCCACACACTCCGTGGTACCCATCTAGACAGCATTTAACCTATGCGTTTTGAGTCTTTGACCGCTGCCAACATAGCCTATCCAGGAGGGCGCTGTCTGCCCCAGACCTATGTCAGTCCCACCTCGCCAGACTCCACCAATCACTGATGTTGATTGGTGGCGAGTGGGGCTAGCCATGTCAGCTCCAGCCCTGACAAGGCCACCTTGCTACTCCACACACCCAGACAGCCTCCTCTTCGCTCTCATGCAATCATGGGGAGAAAGCATGGGGGATGACAGGAATGGAGAGGACAAAGAAGAAGAAGAAGAAGAGGCCCATATAGAACAAGCGTAAATTAAAAAAAAAAAAAATCCTCCAATCACTCCACCTCCGATCGCCTGCCCGATACAATGCTGAAGTCTCAACCGGGACAAGTCTCCCTGAGATAGTCACCAAGTCTCTCTCTCTCTCTCTCTCTCTCTCTCTCTCTCTCTCTCTCTCTCTCTCTCTCTCTCTCAGAGTCTCTCTCTCTCAGAGTCTCTGTGTGTGTGTGTGTGTGTGTGTGTGTGTGTGTGTGTGTGTGTGTGTGGTGTGTGTGTCACCAACATGGGTGATAAGCATGAGGAGGAGGGCAACGGCGAGGACGATGATGTTGATGGAGGGAGGAGAATGAAGGGGATGAAGGGAGGAGGATGCAGGGAAGGAAGAGGAAGGGGAGGAGGATCAATTGGAGGAGAAGAGGACGAGAAAGATGAGGAAGACAACGAGGATGATAATGACGAGGAGGGATGATGACGAGGAGGTATGTTGATAACTGTTGTGACTAGCTTGTATTTCGTTTGTTCATTCATACTCTTTTCTTTAAATGAGTCGTTCCTCTAAACATCAGTCATTCTTCTATTCATCAGTCATTCTGTCAGAGTTCTGTTGCTGCGGACCCTTTGGTCTTACCACATCAGTGTTCGCTATGGTCTGCTGCACACCAAGACAAGATATTTGCCTGGACAGTTGACTCTCTGAGTGCTTTAGAGATCAGGCCTACCAGTAGTACGGTGTAAGCCGTGTATCTATCTGAACATCCTTCCATCGACAGGCATCCCATTTGTTTCTAGTCGGATGAATTTGGGCGCTCCTGTAGTGACCCGTACATTTCCTAAAATCGTGGCTTGTAAACGGGCATGGCTTTAGGAAGTACTGGTGGTTTAAAGCACCAGTACACCACACATCGGCCCTTGGGTGTCAGCATGAAACCCGAACCACTTCGGAGGCCGCCGTTTTTTTTTCTTTCGATGGCGCCCCACGCCGCACAGCCACGGCCCCTCCGAGTTTTGCTGGTGGCGGCAAAAAGTTTCTGCAAGGCTGGGGCCGTGTACTTGCGGTTTAAGACAGTAGTTGTTGACCATTTCTTTGTTTCTCCACAAAGGTGCCGAAAGCGGCGAAAGGAAGACGACAAACTGGATGCAGAACATAGATCAGACTGTACCAGTAGGCTTGTGTGGTAGAGGTAGGCATTATTCCGCACAACCATTCGATTGCAATGCGGTCCCACCGACAGAGGACGATAAGGAACAGCTTTATAGCTGCACGTAAGGAACAGCTTTGAAGGTGTAAGCTTTTTGCACCTCCTGCAGACAGATCTGGTAACAGCAAGTGTCAGCCACTTTCCGATTTATGGTTGGATGTGGGGGGTGGTTCATCCTGCGACCCCGGGGATTCTATCATTGAGTAGACCTTAAGGAGCCCTGGGGAGGCTGACAGAAAACGCGCCCCATCGTTTCAGAATTCATTTTCATTTTTGTACTTCAACTTAGTTATATGTCCATGCGTGGAAAGACTTGAACTCTCACTCGCCTAATCCGTACTTCGGTGCTCTTTTCTAATTCCTGATATCCATTTGAGCTGCAAGCCTACAAGCACATTCCGAGGTCCCTCTCATCTAGAGGGACTTGAACTCTCAACTTCCAAACCCTTAGTCTCTTGCTCTATTCTAATATCCAATTGAGCTATACAAGCACATTCTGAGGTCCCTTTCGTCAAGGGGTGTAGGGCGTAACTTTTTCATGGCAAGGACACAGGGTCAAATCCCATAAGGGGTATTTACCTAGGAAGGTTTTCATGCCCGGCCGGACACCCGGGCGTGAGGCCTGGGGGGGTCCTTTCTGTGCTACACCAGAGGACCCCAAATCCGGGCTCTTTTCATTTTTTGAGAGTTGGCTGTCAAGGGGGGGAAGGGGGGTTTAAAGGGGGGTCCCTTAGTGTGATTTTGTTATTTTCTTTTTTATCTCCGATTCGGTGAGGAACTCTGATGTGACCGTCAGAGAGGAAAACGCACGTTCCTGCACCGTGGCTGGGAGGCCCATTACTACTGTAACGCCACAAAAACTGTTGAGATATAGACCTGTGCTCAATTCCAAATGGAAACAGAAAGAATTATGCTAACAACTTGTACCCACCAACATGTCTTTTTTTTTTTCTTCTTGTGTGAAGTCAGTCACAGAGGGTATAGTTTCCCTCCCCCAAAAAAATGTTTTACTGTTGTGCAGACTTGCTATGATGGTTGCACTTAGTCTCAGAGAGAGTTTCACTTTGAGTGCTGCAAATTAAGAGGCCATTATTGTTAGGGGGGTCTTGCAATGGCACCGGTTTAAAAGACCCTTTCAAACTGATACAGACCCCCCTGGTCATTCCAAATGCGTACTTAGGCCCAGTACAGAAGGCCACATACGAAATACTTAGGGCCAGTACAGAAGGCCAAATACGAAATAGCTGGCGTGGAGATGGTTTTTAAAGGCACAACAATTATTCTCTTCGCTCTTCCCCTACAGACCCCCTTGCCCTGTCCTTTGCCTCCACCTCCTTCCCCCATTTTGCTCCCCCTTTCTCTTTAAACCACCAGTACTTGGCCCGGCTATCGATGCCGAGCCTGGAATGCCCCTGCGCGCCAATTTTTGCTGAAGCGTCGGGGTACCGTTTCAATTTTTTTTTGGCTGGCACTTCCAGCCATTGTGGTCCGGTACCCCGAAGCCCTGAAGGCGCGACGCGTTAACGGGGAAGCGCCGCGGCCGATAGCTGGGCCAAGTACTGGTGGTTTAAGCCACATTTATTCTCTTCGCTCTTCCCCTATAGACCCCCTTGCCTTCTCCTTTGCCTCCACTTTCCTCCCCCATTTTGCTTCCCCCTTTTCTCTCCCTTTCCTCTCCCCTTTCTTCCCCGTTTCTTACCCTTTCACCCACCCACTGTACCCCTCTCCCCGTTTCTTTTCCCTCTTGCTTCATCTGGGGTACGGGCGTTTCCTCACTTGCTTGTGCGCTGATGGTTTTCATTTGACGAAGTACGTGAAATGCGCGCGTCGTGGCAGAGTGGCCGCTGGCGGCAATGATTGTGTATGGTGTGTGAGTGTTAATATTCATGCATCCAACCCTGTGGATGTGGACAGGTGAAAACCATGGACGTTGCGCTTGAGAGCTTGTTGTACCCGCCCTTCACTGATAGCTGAAACGTGGTTCCGGAGAGGAGGATTCTGCAACATGTGGTGGAGCAGGTGACTTGGCTTGGGTGCTGCTTATGTGTTCAGCACTCCCACAAAAGTCTGCCTTACTTTCATTAATTCAGGCCAGAAAGGAAGCTTGTTCCCCTCACGACTCAGGAGAGAAATAACTATCGCGAACGAAGCAATGCGACAACGACAATCGTTTTGTGAGGCCATGTGATATGTGTATCGTTTGACTTGAAGTACATTTCAACATTATCGCTATTTGGTCCTTCGTACTTCGTATTCATAGTGTCTCCACGACAAACGAAGGGTCATTCCTGCTTTGTTACTTGGTGGAGAGGAACTTTGCTACTGATGTTATGTTCGTCACCATATCACGCGCCTGATCACTTGGGAGTTCATTTCTTCTTCTCCTCCTCCTCTGTATTCTCTCTCTCTGTATTCTCTCAAAGTAGCGGTGTTTTGAGAAAGGGAAGTAAAGTGGGGCAGCAGCCAAGCTCAGTTGGTTTTGTATGCAAGTGGAATTCAGGAGGTCGTGGGTTCGATACCCCACACTGCCGTCTGCGGCGTGTTTGGTGTTCATCAGCAGAGACAGTTGGCTTGCCCCCCCTCGTCAGCCTTGTTTAGGTCCTGGGTTCTCTCAGAGGCCTTCGCCCCTGCCATTCCTTGCTGGGGGTTTGCACCTCGGTCTTCCCTCCTTCCTGTGCTTAGACATGTGGCCCTCATTCCTGTGCTTAGACTTGTTGGTAGGTAGCGTGATGTCTAATTGAGAGTGAAACGGAAAGAAGAAGAAGAAGAAGAAGAAGAAGAAGAAGAAGAAGAAGAAGAAGAAGAAGAAGAAGAAGAAGAAGAAGAAGAAGAAGAAGAAGACTCGAGAAGTAAAGCCGTGTGTTTTTTTCTTCTTCTTCTGTCTGCCTCCTTCTCTTCCTCCTCTTGTTTTTACGAAGAGCACATTTTTAACCCCTTCTTTCCTCCTTCACCCTCTTTCTGACATCAACTATTTCTAGTCTATTAGTCTATTACATTGCTGGATCACACATTTCACCCCATCTTTGTGCCGTTTCTTACCTCGTTCCCCTCGTTCCCCCGTCTTTTTTTTTCGCCTTCAGAGTCCAGACAAGTTCATCAGTCTTTTCTTTACTGTTATGTTATTCTTGGGCAATCTCGTCACTGTAGAAAAAAAAGAACAAGATTTGAATTTTCGATTGGCAGGAAGGTGTGAGCGTACAAGGAAAAGAAAGAATGGCCGAAACGGGCCAAGATGGTGCAGATGCAGTTATGGTGCTCGACTTCCGCACTGCCTTTCAGGGAAGCGTTTTTGAGAAATATCACATTGTTCCTCTCCAAGTAGCTTCTCTAAGCACCACTTTCCGGAGTCTAGATTGCAAGGATCTCTATCGTTTCTTACGCATGCATGACGACTACGAGCTTCTGGATGAAAGCCCCTAAGATTTTGCAAACAAGTTCTTTGAATTCCAGAATGACTATCTGTTCAGGTCGTTGTCCGAGGCTGAGATGCCAGATTGCCACGCCTTTGTGAAGCGTGCGAGGCTTTTTTTTGAGAAGTACACGGAACTTAAGTTTCGTGAGAACGGTGTCAAACGACGCAAAAAACGTCCGGACGTAGCTCTTTGGGAGGAACTAGTGAATCTTTCTTTACCTGAAGAGTTTGGCGATGAATTGTTGTGCTTCCTGCTGTTCGACTCTAATTCAGAGCTGAAGACCCGTTTCGGCTGTGGGGGAATGGAGCTAGGGAGGTGGTTCTCTCGTTGGGGAAAGAATGTGAAACATGAAAACGACAAGGACCTCGCCAAGAGATTGTATCGCTACGGACGATCTGCCTCCAAGAAGGCCATCGGCTCCGACGTCATTGATTTAGAGCTACATCAGATCGATTTTGACCTCATCGGATCTGACGGTCAGCATTTCCCTCTGCGAATGTTACTGTGGGAAGGAGATTTGTTGCGCGATGTTTCTTGGTGTGCTAAGGTTCACGATCGGGAGAACGGGGTCCTGATTGCAGATGCCATCAACAAGATGAATCGGGATGAATGTCCAGACGAAGACTGGAGTCTCCTTGGGACAAAAGTCCGGTCGAGAGCCGGAAATGCGATTGCGCAGCGGTACAAGCCTCATGGAAACATCCCCACGCTGCTGAAAGAAATGTGTTGCTGGAGCAGTTCCGCAGACTACGACTTCGATGAGGAAAGCCTCTCCGACGGATCATTGCATATTGAAGAGGAGGACCTGCACGACCCTACCATGTTTCCTAAGATCACTCCTGAACAGCTCACATCCCTGGAAGATCTCAAAAAAGTTTCTTTGTGTAACCCTAACTCAATTGTGTACTCGAATCGTTCCGAGTTTGAACGTTTGATTCCGGTTGCTGCTAATTTGGGGCCAGTTCTCCGTGAATCGTGCTGCACATCGGAGGGGTTTCAAGGCATTGCTGACGAGTATGGGCTTCGACCATCGTCGCTGAAGCATGTGATGGATTTTCAGTGCAAACACTTCCAGCGTCTTTTCCGCGGCACAATTTGGCAGCAATTGCCTGTGGATTTGATGCTGCGAATCGTTGCATTTCTGCCACAGCGATACATACGTCTAACCCCTGCGCAGCGATGTACTCATGCAAAAAGTCAGCAATGCTCTTCGGGACATCCGTTAAAGTTAGAATGATACAGATAAGATTGGCTGCCCTGGGTCGGGGCCTGGGAAGCTTTTTGCCAAGCAGGCCTTCAGGCCCTGTTTTCTGGGGTTCCTGCCTCGTCTGTTCTGTCTGCAACCTTAAGGTATGTGTACCCTGTTTTGTTTGGCTCTTTTGGCTCTTTAGGTTTCCATTTTCGACCGTTCTATTCGAAGGGGGTGGTGGCTGCGGTTTCTCTGCCTGCTGGTTTCGGTGGGCATCAGGCTGAACGGGGACCGGGGTTCTTCCTTTCCACATGAACGGGTGTACTTTCGCTCCGTGCTTTGCCCGGTACTTCGTTGTTCTGAACGGAAGCTTGCCGCTGAAGGTCTAAAAGGGTCCAAGGTTTTCGCATTTCTCACTGATTGATCTATTTCGCTGAGTATGTAGGCGAATGCTTTTCTTAGGTGGCGCTCTGTTGACCGATGTTTTTTTTGCAGTCTTTTAGGTGGAGCAGGCTTTCGCATTGGGTCCAGCTGTCGAGCGATGGTCCCGATGACTGGGGCTTTCGAGTTCTTTGGGATTCTGTCTAGGTATGCGGACAGACTTCTTCATTCTCGACGTGTGTTTATGTGTACATGAATGTAGCAGGATATGTTGCTAGATGCTCTTTTTATGTGGTGCTCTGACGCTGACGGTTTGGAGGGACTTTTGAATGTGCAGGCTCTCGCATCGGGTCCGCCTGTTCATTTGCGGGTCTGATCTACTGGGACTCTCGGGCATGCACTGTTTTTTTTTTTTTTTTTTAATGTATGCTGCCCGAGTTTTGGTTTGGTGCATTTTCACTCCTTTGCCGGTATAAGGATTGATTCGTTGGGAACCAGGTGCTCATTGTATCTGTCACTGTCATATAAGGGGATGTATACCGTAGATCAGACTCTCTCACTTGTGTACGATCGCGAAAGTGCTGAGGGTCTGATCCCACTATGCGTAGTAGAGCAACGTTTGGAAAGAAACGGGGATCCCACAAGGTACCGGGTCCAGCGGCTGTGGAAAAGAGATCGCCTGTTTCTTCTGTCCGTTGTGTGCGTGTCGTCACTGCCGCCACCGACGCCATGTCAACATAAAGATTTTTTTTTATTTTTTATTTTTTTTAACATAAAGAAAGAAATTCTAGAACCTGGCCATCCCCTACCCTTCCCCTTAAAAGTTGGTGGATTTTTTTTTTTTTGCTTTTTGGCTTAGAGGCGCCGTTATTGGATGAAAGCTCCGCAGGACCGGGGTTGGTTACGGAATATCGGCTGTACAATCAGAAAAGCCCCTTAACCATCGGGGCAATGGGATCCGGAAAAGTTTGTACGGACCATAGGGTGCGGACCCGACTTCTAAGGGGCTTTCCCGATTTTAAAGATAAAAGCTCCATGTGGGATCAGACCCTGAGACGGTTGCTCGGCGCCCTGGCTACAGCGCTGCCTTACGACAGGGATGGCAGACAGACTGTGTATGCCTTGGGTGCTGTACAGCATTGTGCATGTCTATCTCATTGTGCTTTCCGTCACGAACTCCTCAGCTCTTCGTCCGAGTGGGGTGTCAAACACTTCGCGAGGCTGTTGGGATTCGATGGATAAATTCATGGAGAAAGGCATCACATGTTCACTGTAGGTCTAGACGTAGATTCTTCGGGGTCGGGGGGAGCTGTAAAGTTCTCTCTTACCACTGCCAGTGGGCTATTTGCTGGCAACCCCTATATGAATATTGGTCCTCCGAATTCTCACACTGAGGAACAATCCAAGATTCGGGGGAATCAGCACGAACTGTTCGGATTCGATGACGGGCAGAGAGCTTTGATGGGGCTGTGTGGTCGGAAACGGTGTTGAGCGCATCGGCCCTCGCTCGCGCGGGGGCCGATGCGCTCGACATCGGCCCCTGCCTTTTCTTGCGAAAGAGGCGGGAGCCCTCCGCGCTCGACAACGGAGTTTCGGCCTCCGGCAGCATGAAGGGGCGCGTGAACGAGGTAGTCGCTCGGGGATGGGAGCTGTGGGTAATGCTTGTTCGAGATGTGAGAAAGGGAGTAGGGTGATTACATACAGGAGGCAAGGCTTGGGTAAGGCCTCCATGTACTCAGTTGGAGATTGCTGTGCTCTGAGGGCTTAATTCCCCTGAAGAGTCTACGGCGGGGTAGACGAACCACGTCGGGGAGGGTCCGCATCTGTGGTTTTCCTGTACTATATCAATGGGTGTTAATGCTTTGCTTTTTTTGGAGTTTGCACTTTGTATGCTCTCTCTTCCTGAGATTGTGTATGATTCGTTTCAACGTTTGGTGTGCTGACGGAGTGGTTGTATTGGTGCATCATTCTCCTCCGTCCTCATGCTTAGGCAGTCTCGCGGGGCTGCCCTCTTCTCTCCTCTACCTAGAAGATTTGCATGGCCCCTGCACAAGGATGACACACCTTTTTTTTTTTTTTTTTTTTTTTTTTTTTTTTTTTTTTTGAAAAGAAAGAAACTCAAGGTTATGGCTCGTGCCATGCTGGACTGCTTAGCCGAGGTCGTGCGCCTCTCAGCTGTAATGCTGTCATACCGGTGTGCTATGCTAGAGCAGACCGGGGCGTTGATGCTGTGGACCAGTTCCTCCCTGTCTGTGTTGGACTGCCCCTCCTACAGGCCGTTGTATGACTC